ATATAATTCCGATTTAATTGCATTGATTTCGAAACGTTAAATCTGAAGTATGTTTATACATTTACAAAAATTTATTGCTGTTACCACATAATTTCACATCCTCCGCAATTTCTCGCGCTATGTAATGCACGCTAGGATACAGCCGCAACGTTTCTTTCAAACATCTTTCTAAGTATGACAGACTCTGCAGGGCCGTCATAGTTAATTTCTTCTCAAACTGTTTCATCACAGTATTGACCTCCTCCCTGACGCGATCCTATACCACCGATTTTAATTAAAATTGTATGTCTTATTACTTCGTGATATTTTATATACATGCAAAGAAATAATTTCAGAAAATGTTTATATGTATATTTATATTTACATCATTATATTATTAAAAAATTGCTTTTCTTCAAATTTCATTCGATTAATAAATTTTAATTGATACACGAAAAAATATACTGCGACGAATAGTAAATATTTCTGCCGTTTCAGTAGGAATTAATTAACTATTTAATGACTTAACAGGATTAAATCAGTTTCCTCTTTGAATTTATCACTTGTTCCCATAGAAAAGTACCTGAATATCCTTGTGCTCAGCTAACACTGACAAAGTAAAGCATATAGCCATTGCTGTTGTGTCATGACCCTATAATCAGTTTATATATTAGACGCATTAAAAAGAAACTATCATAGTTTGATTAACGATTAGTTAAACAAACAAGTTGATTGAATTAAACAGAACTTCTGATAATTATAATGAAATATTATTCGAGTCAATTAAAACATTTAGGTCTAATGTTACGAATATCATAATTATAAAATGATTTTCTTTTTAAGTTGCTCGAAAGACGAAAAATGCTCTTGTTTATTTCGCGGCTTTCAGAGTCTGCATCTGAGAGATTATTTTAAGAATCTGAGATGACATCTACAGATTTTTAAAATAACCCATCAAGTTTAGTCAGTACAAATTTGGTTTCTTTGCCCAAACGGATATAAACAAATTTGTCTGGTTACCTTAACTAAAAATATAATTTGTTCATATCTCAATAAACAGTCTAATTGATGTAAATAGTATAGTTGATTTAAATTCTGATTGATACATAACTAACTTTTTTAGATATATCTCCGTGTAATATATCAAACTATCGAAAAAAATCATGCGGATATACA